AAAAAAAAAAAAAAAGAAAAAAAAAAACAATTTTGTCAATATTGTAGATAGTGATGAGTAAAAAACAAAAATTTTTCCTTCGAATGTATTCAAAAAAAAAAATCCAAAAAGTAGTTATCCCCGAGTCCAGCCACTCGTGTAATTTGTTAATTTGTTCTTAAAGCGTATACTCGGACAGTATTGTGTACAGCAAATTAATTGAAAATTCAGCCAACCCATCAAGTGTAAACACTCTCAAACAAACACCGCGTCGAGAAAAATCGTCTCGGATGCGCTCGTGAATTTTAAAAATAAATACTTACTGATGCCGAAACTCGTCGACAAAAAAAAAAAAAAATGAAATAAAAGTCTGCAAATATTGACTCGCGATTGGAGAATGAGAATAACCCGAATTATATCTCAAATACCTGCCTGATAAAAAATTATCTTTCTCTCTCTCTTTCCAAAACACACGTACGTTATATAAACGAGGACATGCCCATATATATGCACACACAAGAGGGGTGTCAGCGACGACGACAGTCCCGTTAATCTTTGGATAACAAAAAACACTCGCATCTCTCCTTCTCTCGTTTCCCCGAAAAGGTTTCAGCCTCTCACATGTAGGTGAGTTTTTGCCGCCTTCGTCTCTGGTTTTCAGTTCCCCATTTCGCGAGCAGCAGAGAGAGACATACTATATATAGTATATATATGTATATCAACGCCCATCAGGTGTGCGGTCCTCTCCCCCCTCTTTCTTCCATAATGTGGCTTCCCCTTGTTTTTCACATGCCCCGTTTTGGTGGTCCAAAAGTTCCTTCCGAGAGAGGGTATGTAACATTATACGTCACGTACAAGAGATGAGAGTTTTTTTTTACGATAAATTAACTACCGTCAACCCCATTCTGCTTGTATAAACATTTACCCACGCAGTGTGGGGCCACAGTTATATTATCAGAGCACCTTATCGAACTGCGCTCTAACATCATATATCCGATTCTCGTTCGCAGGAGGACGAAAAGGTGGTGGAGCTGGTGCAGCGATACGGCCCGAAAAAGTGGACGCTCATAGCCCGACACCTCAAGGGTAGGATAGGCAAGCAGTGCCGCGAGCGCTGGCACAACCATTTGAATCCGGGGATAAAGAAGACCGCGTGGACCGAGGCCGAGGACATGATCATCGTCGAGGCCCACAGACGGGTCGGCAATCAGTGGGCCAAGATAGCCAAACTGCTGCCTGGTAGGACCGACAATGCCATCAAGAATCACTGGAACAGCACCATGAGGCGCAAGTACGAGGCGGAGGAGGGACGGACAACCACGACGAGGGGTGCGTTGATCTTTTTTTCTTTTTTTTTTTTTTTTACATTTTGTTAAATTTTTACGTGATGATTGAAATAAACCGAATGTACGCGCGTGTTTCAGGTCGAGGTAGGCGAAAAACTGGCGAACAGACGTTGAGGACGGACGACCGGTCGCGCAAGCAGCAGCAGCAGGTGCAGCAACATCACCAGCAACAGCAAGTCTCGTCGACGTCGACAATGAATGGCGCTGGCGAGGACAGCAACAACATATCGGTCGCTGTGTCGGTCAATTTGGCCCACCAGAGCAGTGATTTCGAGGCGCTCGAGTGGGCCCGTGCCTGGGAACAGGAGCACCAGCAGCAGCAACAACAACAGCAGCAACAACAGCAGCAGCAACAGGCGCACGATCGTCGTGGTTCAGGGCACTACGGTGATGCGATGCGGTTGGACGATCGTCAGCCGCATCATCTCGAGTCGTCGCCCAGGCGACGTATCGATCAAGTCTCTCCCTTCTCAAAGTGCGTGCAATCATCAATATTTTACATGAGCGTCGTACAAGTGTGTCGTATTAACTTGATCGTTGCGATTCAAGGTTTTTCGGACTCGAGATGGCAAACGATCCGCAGTCGTCGCGCTCGGCCGATATCCAGCTACTGCCGATGCCGGATCTCGAGGAGGACGAGGTGCACGATCGTGAAAAGTCCAGTCCGCCTCCGATCTTGCGCAGACGGCGGAACCAGCTCCACCAGCACCTCGAGAACCATCACCAGCAGCAACGCACCGTCACGCCCGACAGCGGCAACCAGTCGGATTACCTGTTGCACGCGTACCACCAGTCGGGCTCGTCGCAGATCGGCCTCTCGACGCCCTCGACCCCGATAAAGCAGCTGCCCTTCAGTCCCTCGCAGTTTCTCAACAGCCTCAGTCCGGACACGTCGTCCTGGCCCAGAGCCAGCACACCGAAAGGTAGTCCCGGAAGCCTCACGACGCCCCAGCCGTCCAATCTCAGACGAGGTATTTCAGTTGCCGAACTCTGGATATCCGTGGGAAACCGTGTGAGCGTTTCTTTCTCACGCGATGACATTTTTCAGACGGTACGACGCCGCGTACACCGACGCCGTTCAAAAACGCCCTGGCTGAACTGGAACGGCGAAGCGGAGCGACGCAACAGTTGCCGGCGACTCCAAGCCGGCTGGACGCGCTCACGGAGATCATCAAGCAGGAGACGGACCGAGAGAGTCTCGCGGGCACGAGCAGCAGCAGTACGGCGAACACGGTAGCCACGACGGCCTCGACGACGAGCTTACTTCAGGACTCGGGTTACGGGACGGGCCGGCGACGGGGAAAGGAGAATAGCGCGCCCGGCGGCAAAAGGGCGCGCAAGGCCCTCTGCCAGGCATGGTCGACCCACGAGAGCTCCGACATGAATAGCTTCGCCATCGAAACGCCGGTTTGTTTGAAACAGCAAATGTAGATAACAATAATGGTCGATACGTCATAACGGGGGTGCGACTTTTTTTTATTGTTGCAGAGCAAAAGTGTGGATACGTCGGTACTGTTTTCACCAGCGTCAATGGCATTGGACGACAGTTTCTTAACGACCGGGCCGAGTCCCGTAAAGGTAGAGCCGCGTGTTCAAAGTCATACTGATTCTCAGAATCAGTTACAAGAACAACCACAACAACAACAACAACCAGCCCTATCCTGGTACTATTCCCGCACCAATCGCCTCTAGACATGCTAGCCGGCCTTTTTCTTTTTTCTTACTTTCACATGCACTTTTTTTCTTCAATTTTTTCATCTTTTTTTCAATGTGCTATCCTCCTTGCTAATTCTTTACTCACTTCCTTTGCACTAATCTATTCATCTTTAATCGATGTTTATTGTATATCTTATTCAAAAAAAAAAAAATCGCATAATATATGTTTTATTCGTTTTTATTTAAATTTTTTTTTTGCTTTATTATTATTATTATTATTTTTTTTTATTGATGTTGTTTGTTCGTATTAGTCGTTCGCCCACATAATTATGCCTAGTCCGGGCTTCCACGCAGTGCGCCTTGTGTACGCGTTACGTAGAAAAAAAAGAGATATGATACCTTTGTATGCAACTCCAGCATTCGAAAAACAATTGCCCTTTGTCCTGCAGATTTTTAACTTTCCGTTTGTAAATCTTAAAGTACCTTGAATATCAGACTTGGCTTTAAATAGAAAAAAAAAGCAAAAAGTTGATACCTCTATTATGCNTTTTGTTGTTAAACTTTTTTTTTTTTTTTTTTTTTTTAAAATTTAAAAATACCAAAAAAAAAATAAATGGGGGTGGGGGTTTTTTTTTTTTTTTTTTTTTGCATAATACAGCCTTGGGTGCAAGGTTTTTTGCATTTTTTAATTTCAATGCTCGTACAGTGAGGCTCTTGAATTTCAAAGGATCTGCTGAGCTGTTTTTCTCTCGGAAATCAAACTCGTAAAGTTGTTTGTATAAGTTTCGTAAGGTGATATTTCAACAGGTGTCGCGGAGAATAATTAGGTAATTTTTTTTTAACGGAGCAAAAATTAGGTGACAAAGTAACAATTTCACTTCACGGATTTGATTCGAAAATCAGACTTGCGAATATATAATTATACTGTATGAAAAAAAAATAATACCATCGAGAGACCGGCTATACAGACGTGTACGTGCGGAATAAAAAAAAAAAAAAAAAAAAAAAAAAAGCGGCTAGCGAATCACGTGTATGTATAATAATAAACTACGTGCCCATACACACGGGCAGATAGAAAGGGTGAGCGAAAGGGGAACGTAGAAGGAAAGGAAGAGCGCCTATCCTCGTGTGTATGTATATACGACGCGAGCATATCGCGAGCAAGAAGGGCTGCCGGCCACGGTAAGTATGTACAAACGGGGAAGACGAAGGGGCGGCCAGCATTGTAAGGTTTCCCCATGGGAAATGGGCGCTAAGGACGATCACACACGTGTCTCCTCCTTCTTTCTTTTTTTTTTTTTTTTTTTTTCTCCCGATGGCCCCTTTTGGGTGGGGGCCCTGTTTTTTAATTTTTTTTTTTTTTTTTTTTTTTTTTTTTTTCTCCCGATGGACCTTCTTGGATGAGCGTCCTGTGTATGAATATCTTTGCTTTTTTTTTTTTTTTTTTTCCGTACGTCGCGTATATGTATATGCATATATACACACATAACGTGCATTACAAGTGTATACGCGTGCAAAAAGAAAAAAGGAAAAAAGGTTCCGGTCATCCTTGACACCGACGGTCCTCGCGACGTGATACTATTTTACCGGGTCCCTCTTTGCTGCTTCATCATCCCCTCTCCTCCCTTTCTTTTTCTTGTTGTTTTTTTTTTTTACTTTTTCCCTTATCGAGGGGAGGACATCGGGTTTAGCGGCCAAACAGGGGAGAAGTCGGACAGTGCGCGTGTATTATTATAACGCGGGCCCGGAAGTAATTGCCCTATGGGAATTTTTGGGCTTTTTGACGGACGCGCAGATGCGAGAGCGGCGCCCCTTGAAAGTTAAAGCGATTGACTGACGCGCACATACGCGTATGGGCCCTCCCTCTATATTTTAATTTGAGGGGGTGAGAAAGTTAGCTTTCAACCGGGGTACACGTGTATATGAATTTGCATCCTGATGGGAATGTTGCCTTTCCACCATTGTGTAATGGGTGACTCGCTATATGGGTGAAAATGACATTAGGTGAGGGGGGGGGGAGGGTTGCTTTTAATATGTATCATATTGCATGCGATACTCATAAATA